AATAAAAAGATAAAACAGACAATATGAAACAGGCAGAAATTTAACCAAAAACAGTTTTAAAAAGGTGAGTTTTGAGCTGTTTTTTTTTTTTTTAAAAAAACAACGACTGAGTCCACAGTTTTTAATGTTTGGGGGAGAGCGTTCCACAGTCTCGGGGCCACAGTGGCAAAAGCTCTGTCACCCTTAGTTCTCATCTTAGTCTTTTTTATAGCAAGTAAGCCCTGATCAGATGACCTCAGGGACCTGCTGGGGACATCGGGCTGTAGCAGATCAGAGATGTAGGCTGGTGCCAGTCCATACAAGGCTCTAAATGTCAAGACCAGGATCTTAAAATGTACTCTAAATTTAACAGGAAGCCAGTGTAGCTGAAATAGCAATGGTGTCACATGTGAGGACTTGGAGGATCTTGTCGAAAGTCTAGCTGCAGCGTTTTGCACAACCTGCAGACGATCCAGAGAACCTTTGCTTAGACACATAAACAAAGAGTTACAATAATCCAAGCATGACGAAATAAATGCATGTATAGCTATCTCCAGTTCAGAGCGAGATAAAATCGGGCTTAACTTAGCCACATTTCTTAAATGATAAAAACAAGACCGAACCAGAGATTTCACATGCCCATCCAATGTGAGAGTCGAGTCAAAGGTGACACCTAAATTCCTGATAGAGGATTTAACACACACTGAGAGAGGACCAAGGGCTTTCACTATCTGGGATAAAAATCTGTCCGGAAGACTTCAGTTTTCCCCCCGTTGAGTTGGAGGAAATTTGCAGCCATCCAACATTTGATAGAATCTAAGCAGTCATTTAGAAGCTGAAGCTTAGATAAATCCTGGAGCTTAAAAGAAACGTACAACTGAATATCATCAGCATAACAGTGATAAGAAATGTCCTCAAAAGAGCCCATTATTTGCTGGAGGGGGAGAAGATATATTAAGAACAATAAAGGCCCTAAAACCGAACCCTGAGGACACCACAAGTAAGGGAGGTAGAGGATGACCTAAAACCGGAGACCACCACAGAAAAAGATCGGTGATGCAGATATGAGGAGAACCACTCCAAGGCAGTACCCGATACACCAACCCAGTGTTTAAGCCTTTCGGGGAGAATGTGGTGGTCAACAGTGTCAAAAGCTGATATTAGGTCCAACATAAGGAGGACCGAGCATTTTCCTGCATCATTACTCATCAAAATGTCACTATAGACCCAAAGAAGAGCTGTTTCTGTGGAGTGAGCTCTGTGAAAGCTGGACTGAAACTTATCACAAATGCCATGTTTGTCCAGAGCCGCTATAAGTTTCTTAGCCACAACCTTTTCTAGAAGCTTAGTGAGTAACGGTACTTTGGAGATTGGTCTGTAGCTGCTCCAAACAGAGGGGTCTAGCTGAGGTCTTTTTTAAAGCGGGAGAATAGCAGCATTTTTAAAAATAAACTGGAACTATACTAGACGCCAGTAAAGAGTTGATTAGAGTGAGCACAGATGGACCAATAACCTGGAAGACATTTTTGAATAATGATGCAGGTACAGTGTCAAGAGGACAAGAGGATGCTTTCACTGAATTCACTAGTTGTACCAGCTCAGGTAGTGAAACAGGAGAGAAAGTATCCAAGATGACAGGGCAAGAAAACCTGTTTGATAGAGAGGTTTTCAAAGGTGCCATAATGATAATTGCAAAGACTCCGTTCAAAGGCCAGAAGAAGGGTCCTGTTGTCATCTCCACACACTCTGATTTGCAACTGCAACGCTTCAGCCCTGGTCATCACTCGGGTCCGGTGTGAGGATTTTTTCATATTTCAGAAAGACATGAAAAGCCTGTGAGATACACAGATACTGTTAATCTGCTTTTTTGGCTTTCTACTTCTTTTCCTCCCTGGTCAAGTTTCCTCAGATTTTTTAAGGACACACTGCACACTATGCTGAGATATGCCAGGTTTTGGATTATTAGCTCTTTGTGAATCACCTAGTTGGTGCAAAAGTACGGTTTTTATGTTAAAATTTGTTATTTTGCCATTTTCACTGTTTCAACTAAAGAAATGACAACAAATGACAATTTTTTTGTGATAACCTGCTAGCAACGAAGAGCCTAAAGATTCAGCTTAAAACTGGTTCTTTATTAAGGACTCTTGTGTGCAGGCAATACTGGTTCTTCCCTTGAGTTGAGTTTTTTTTTTTTTTTCCAGTTCAGTGAGGTAAAATTTTTTAAAACAAAACAAAGCATTCCTCTGAAAATGGTCAGGTACAAGGAAAAAAAAACCCTGGGGAACTATTGCTACAGACCATTTTAAAAAAATTAAAAGAAGGTCCAGTTCACATAGTTCAGTGTTCTTTAAGCCACACTTCTAGAAACAGGTTTTGAGCTTGGAAAGAATCTCAGGGCTTCATTGGTCAGTTCCAGCAATAACATTGTAAGTCAAAGTTTTATTCAGTGCTTTCTCAGCTCAGCAGAGACATGATTAGATAATGGCGGTCAGGTGTGTGAGTCAGCCTCTCCTGACACCACACCCTGAACCCACTGCTCCACCCCTC